AAGAAAGAAAGAAAGAAAGAAAGAAAGAAAGAAAGAAAGAAAGAAAGAAAGAAAGAAAGAAAGAAAAGGAAGAAGAGGAAGAAGAAAATAAAAGAAAATGAAGTAGAAGTCATTCACACCAAGATCTAGTAAGTTGATAGAAAGTAGTTGGGCATTAAAGTTGAAAGTTCAATGTAACATTTCATTTTGTGTATGGTAGTATAAGATAGAGGTAGAATAACTCAATGGCATATAGGCAGAAACAAAGTTGTACAACAAAGAAGACCTCAACCTGAATATAATTTCTTTGATAGGAGCTGGGGTGGAAGTCACTTGAAAGTAAAAGTTATGTGTATATCTGAGACATTGCCCTTACAATAAGGACTACCACATCTTCCTATTAGCAAGAGTAGCATGGGAGTATTGAGTAGAAAGTGAAAATAGACACAACTACTGGATAACAGCCCTTGAAAATAATGCAGTTCTATCTAATAATTAATTAATTAATTAATTTTATTTATTTATTTATTTATTTTTTTTGCAGTATGGGGGATTGAACTCAGGACCCTGCACATGCCAGGCAAGCTATATAATAGTATTGATTAGATACTAGGATACTTTTCATTTGGGAATTGCAGAAGACATAAGTTTCTATGCAAAGAATACTAGTGAAAAAAATTTTGAGGACTTCAATAATGAAAAGAGGCCACAGTTCATGTAAAACAACCATTGCATGCCTAAATGGAATGAGAGAAACATAATGGAACCTTTCTAAACAGACAATGTTGACCCACATTCATTTTGACAGTGACTGAGTTTTGTGCCTAGTGAGATTCCAGAAAATAATCAAAGTTTCATAAGAGTTTGAAATTTGTGTAAACAACCACGGGCAGGATTCTGTTTCTTTGGAATAAAGCATGTATGTAGACAATCCTTGCCTCAGCTGGCACAAATTGCCTAAATCTAGCAACTTAATCGACTAAAAGAAGAAAATACAACTGGTGAAGTAATGGACAAAAGAAATGAGAAAAGCCAGTTCCTCTAGAAACATTTATGAACATTGTTCCCTCTAGGTTGACCAAACTTTTCCAATTTGCCTCATCATCATGAAACTATTTCTGGGTCATGATCTACAATATTGTATCTAGGGACCTAAGGAGAGAAGAAACTCCTCCATTCGGAAGTTTTCAGACTCAGAAAGAGACAAATCTTACACTCACGCCACACTGAAGAATGAAGCTATTTGGGAGGCACTGTGGTCTAGCATAAACTTAGATCATTTCACTTTTTCATTATTAATGATTTAGAGTTACTGTACTAAGTTGGGGAATACACAGTTATGATACGTGTACTTTTATTTCCAAAAAGCAACTTTTTAGAAGCTAGAATAACATCAACAGCAAAAAAGATGGAGTGAAAAAATCTCATAATCTAGTACACAAATTATAACCACAGAGGGGAGATTTTTTTCTTTGTTTTAGCTAATGTAACTCCCACTAACCTGTTTTGAAGCTGTCTCATTGCTACTTCTTTCTCAATAAAATTTAAAAAAAAAATATATACCATGAAAATACAAACAAGTAAAATACAAACAAAATCAGTTGCAGTTACAGAGAATATGCTGGCAAATCCAGCATGTGGTAAGGCCCATTCCTTATAAACCCAAATATCTAGCTGTATCTCTCCCACCCATGGTCTGCTAAAACAAGCGGCCTCAATCGTTTTCCTAAGTGCAGTGGTTCTATTCATGACAGGTCTGACTGGGGCCTACAGATTACAATTTTTTCTCTGTATGAGAAGATAAATTAATGAGACTCTACAAATTCATTTACAGTGGCCGCAATTTGCAGTGATGAAGGTGGATAGTAGAACAGAAACAGAGGTGATAATTACACCTAAGCGTTGTAAGTTAATCTGTATAGCCGCTACCAAAACATTTAAAGCCAGCTACCATATTTTATCATGTTCCTAACTTCGAATTAGAAGGTAGACTCATTAGTAATAGAAAACAAGAATATGTACCAGTGCACACTAAGATAATTACAGAACTTATAGTTGTCTTTTTCATCAACTGCATACACCAATAATAAATTCTACTTCAGTTTGAACCATGAGATAATTGTAAAGTGAATTTCCGAAATGGCTTTTACTATATGCTTCTGCATAAATATGTTTAATTCTGCTTTTCAAAAAGTACTTTTCACTTAGATGTAGAAATATTAATGTTACCTCATTATAGAAATTCTAACATCTTCATATATGTTATTATTACAACTTAATGTTAATCAAGTAGTCAATGTGATAGTATAATAAATATGTCTAGGTCTATTGAACTTCCTGGTTCATTACCATTTAACCAGAGTTGGGACAAGAGTGGAAGGATGATTTTTCATTTATGTCTTGTATAACATATTTCTAACATAAATTAGTTCATGTACCTGCTATAGGATGTCAAGTAGACTAAACATAATTTAACCTTTTTTTAATAATTCATTAATTTGATAATATGACTTCTCATTTAAATTCATTTGCTACAATTGAATATATGAGATTGGATTTTTCTAATTATATCATTAGTGTCATTTTTGAAAACTTACTTTTTTTCTGAGCTTTTCTTTCCCTCCTTATATCCCTAATCTAGACCAAATGTTCAGAGCAAAATCACTTCTCACTAGGAAAATAAATCTTTACTTCCCTAAAAGAACTCATGGGTGTCAGGTTATGCTGGATGACCAAGAAGGGTGGGTAAGATGAAGCTCTGATTAAAGATCTCAGACACTGGATGATCTTTTATTTACTTTTAGTATGTGTGTCTGTGCATTTGTGAGGTCAGAATTGTGCAAATCCAATCCCCAGAAATTTGCCCAAATACAAATACAGACAAGAGCTCTTTATTGTTTTACTTTTGTCTGAGACACACATAATTATAGCTCCTTGTAGAAGCCTAAGAATTCTATCTTATGTGTGCTGACTTTAATACTTTTAATTTACATAATTTTCATAAATATTTACTGCTGAATACAATGCTAGTGTATGAGAATTTTCAGTCACTGATACTTAAGTAATTACTATTTGTTTTTGTAAGGCTGATGTATTGTTAGGAGTTACGTCTTTCCCCTGAAGTTTCTGGATTTATTTCTTTATTTATTTTTTTAGGACAGGGTCTACAGGGTCTACAGGGTCTCACTGCTGAGATCGGACTCAGAGTGATTCTCCTGTTTTCAGTCCCTCAAGTGCTGGGATTACAGGCGCCTGTCACCATGCCCAGTCTCAATCGCTGTCTCAGTGTGCCCTGTGGGTGGGGCCACCATTGCATGCCCAGGATCAAACCCCAGCCAGTGTGCTCTGCCTGAGCAGGCACATTAGTCCCCTGAGCTACCAGCCCAGCCCTTTGTTGTTTTTTCTATTATATACCTCTTGAAGATATTTTATTTATTTTTATTTTTTAAACATTTTATTTTTTTGTTTCCCATGACATTTATTATCTGAAATTCTAAATGCGAAAAATTAATAATGATTTAGAAATTATTTATAAAATATAGTCTGTGCAAATATATGCATGCACATGCAACCTTCTTGGCAGTGAAATTCAATGCAATACATTTCTTCATACAACTATTTAGATCTATTTTGTATATGGCTAGATTTCTGGACTGATGTGTAAACATAAGATTATATAAGTCTTTATACCTATTTTTAAAAGATATTTTAATTTTTAAGAGTGTTTTCATCATGTTCTGTAGGGACTTAAAGTTCACCACATTGATACTTGATGAAAAATACCTGTTCCATGTTATGCCTAAGATGTTTGATATTCAGACAGATAGTGAGGTTTAGCTTAACAGCCTAGGTTGTATGGTAATAACAGGCCGGCCCTTTGGATACTTTTTATTTCAGCTTGAAATTGCCAGTAGCTAATAAAAATAATTTAACATCTTCTATATTAGGAATCACTGAAATAAATTTGGTATAACTTTATCAGATCTTTTTGGTGGCCAGCTCAGACCACCTTAGAGGAGAGGCTGGTGTAGCATATGGTGCCAGGATCAAACTGCGGTCCCTGTGCTTGCCTAAGCTTGCCAAAGCAGGCACTTTACACTGCTGAGCTATCTTGCTGGCCCTTTTCTCAGGTCTTGACAAAAGTAAAAATGTGATTTATGTGGGATGAGGCTTCTTCTACTAGGTGAAATTCATATGTGTTGAATTCTTGTCAGGCTAAGACTGTCATTCCCATTATCTTCAGTGTTGTCTACAATTTTTTTTTAAATATGGAATGCTGTATGAATTTGTGTGTCATCCTTGCCCAGGGGCCATGCTAATCTTCTCTGTATTTTTCCCATTTTCCAGTGGTGCTGCCCAAACCAGCAGTGCTGCTGTGTTTTGTATATAATTTATGATAAAACTACTTAGATGCTGACATTCAAGAAGTGTCCAACGTGCAGCAAAGTTTTCACTGTTCTAGAACTTGAAACACAGAACACCCTCTCAATGTCATCTCCTTTTCAACACATTTGAAATATGATGTTGGTGATTTCTGCTATTGTACCAAGAGTCAATGCTAATCGCTTTCTCAGAATTACTTGTTAAATTCATGACTGTAGAATCGATTCACACATCTTCACTGCAGTGGGTAGCCAGAAGGGTGGACTCAAGGGAGATGTTCCTCTTTTCCTTTCCTGAAATCCTACCAGAAACAGATAAATTGGGGCAGGATACAAATAGCCTAAACTATTGTTTAGGAGGTGGTCAGTTGACTGAAGCATAATTTTAGTTTCAAGTCACTAATTCTATGATGACTGCCTTATCAGCTACATTAAATTTCCCCAACTATAATAGCCAAAGACCTTGAAGTACTTTTTTGGGTATTTAGTCTTCTGATGGGTGATATTCTTGCATTAAAAAAAAAATAGAAATGCTTTACCCTAAGATAATCAACTTTGCCCTGGCATAATCACCTTGCCTTAGATAATCAAATCTGATGATGGTGCAACTCCTCTTAGAAGAGGGTAAGCAAATAAAATCTCAAAATGCAGCAAACTGTGTAGTGACCTCTGTGAAGATCAGTCTGTAAATCCCTGAAGCTCCTCTTGATTCTCTGTTCTCAACCCTCTTTCCTGAGTATCCATTAAATACATGACACATTCCATTCTGTCCTTCTTCCACTGTGCAAATTCAGAGTCCTGGTAACAATTCAATTTTCATTTATCACTCACCAAGATATACAGTAAGCACAGGGGAAGAGCAGGAAAAACTAAAACAGCACGCAGTGTCTTCAGCCCTGGGCTTCCCTCCAGTAGAAATGACAATGCGAAATTCTCTCTTGACTTAAACTATTTCTAATTGATCAGGATCACAGAAGTTCATCCTTCCAGAACTCACAATAATCTCTAATCAGAATAGCAAATGGAAAATTTCAAAATTAAAATGGAGCTTCATACTAAATTTAAATTTGAGAGCCAAATCTAACGTCCTGATGCTCAGCAGTGAGAGAAAATCAAGCAGTTTTACTTCCCTAATGCTTCTGTGAGGACATTTTATGATAAATATGTAGTTCAAGCACATGCCTTTCCATCTTTTTGCAGCCAGGAAATGTAGCCTGCACTACACTGGGTTGGATTCTTTATGGGAAATACTCTCCATAAGCTGTGCTTCAAATTTTGTTCCTCATTTTGTTCATTTCATTAGAAATGAAAATAATACAAATCTGGATAGAATTTCTTTATATAGTTAATAAGCTCATTATCTACAATTGACTATTCTGAAATATAAATATATATATATATATATATATATATATATATATAGAGAGAGAGAGAGAGAGAGAGAGAGAGAAATTAACTATGTTTCCTCTCTTATTTGACATTACAGGCCACTGACTTTCAGGCAGAAAGAGAGTGGGTGCAGTTAGGGTGCAGGGTAGGAAAGAGAATGAGACAGGGTGAGGGAGTTACTTATATAATTACAGATTTCAGACTTTTGCTTCCTTCTTTCAGTTAAAGACTAGCATCCGAGTAATTATGTACCCTTGGCTGCCCTCCATGGTGCAGAATTTGCTTATATTAGAAAGATATTTAAAGAATAAAGCAACGGTGCATTTATTATTTTAGAACAAAGAATTGCAATTAAGGAAACAAAAGAGAAAGCTAAATAAACAAACTATTACCAAAGCATGGAAAAATTTGTAAAATCATGAGACCTGAAATATTTATTCCTGAAATTAGACTATTTGTTCAAATTCTGTATCTGTAATATTAAGTACATAAAATCTATGGACTACAGATGATTGGAAGAAAATATTTTAATTTGTTTACTTTGGATTGCTACAAAAACAGTACAAATTTTCAAGATACACAGAAGTACATTGAAATAAATTACCATATTAAAACTTTTTTTACTATTTTCCTTTTTAACATTGGCCTATGAATGTAGAAAATGATCAGTTCACTTCAATATAGAATTTATTTTTAAAAGTTTTATTGTTAATATTATTATTATAATTATTATTATTTTGGTGGAACCGGGGATTGAACTCAGGCCCTTGCACTTGTCAGGGAAGCGCTTATTATACTGAGCCATCTCCCTGGCCCTAATTTATTTTAAAATAGTGAGGTAATTAAAAAAATTATTACAAAAAAATTAATCCCCAAACCAAGTCTTGAATGGCACTAATTGAAAATATGTCTTAGTGGAAGAAATAAAGGAAGAAAAGAAGAGAAATTAAGCGCTATGCAGGTGATACCACAAGGCTTGGCTTACACGAAAAAATCTAATGCATTAATAATTTAAAGAGCAACATGAAAGTAAATGATAAGAATCAAGGAGGTAGACATTTTTAAGATGAAAAGAACATCTAGGGATGGAGGGACAGGGAAGGGGATAATAAAAAGAATAATGATGTCTTGCATACAGCATACAGCTACCAGATCCTACAATAGCAGTAGTCTTTTGTTTCCCAAACATATATGTACCCCCTTCCAAAAAAAAAAAAAAAAAAGAAAGAAAAAGAAAATTAAGTTAAGGTTCTTAGTCCTGTAGCAGGTAGAGAATGAGGTTGAGAATGATTTCAAAAGTTGGCTTTAGGGAACAATATAGGAAGCCTTTTCTCTTTTTCTTTAAGAAAAGACTGGAACAGAACATAGAGGCTTTCAAATAATGAGAAAAGTAAAGAATGTCTAACTGAGAGCTCTGAGAGCATAAAAGATGTCTTCCAATTCTTCAATTGAAACATTTTCCATAGTAACATGACATCCCCAAAATACATTTATTTTTTTTGATGGTGGAAATGAGGATTGAACTCAGGCCCTTGTGCTTGCCAGGCAAGTGCTTATTCTACTGAGCCGTCTCCCCGGCCCTACCCAAAATACATTTAAATTAACAGTTCACATTTTCATTGCTTTGTTGGTGGTGGAGGAAAAGCAGATGAGATAAATGCTACAAATAGTCCACACAAAGTTTAGTTCCTTGTGCACTTTATCACACAACTACTTAGCGACTTCTTTCCTGAGGCTCCACTTTGTGCTAGGTGTTAGATGTAGGGAAAAAAAAAAATGTGCAAGAGTAGAAGATGCCTCACCTGGTAGGATTTATGACATAGTGGGATAGGAAGAAATACTTTTTCACAGCTAAGAATGGTTCTACTAATTGGGGGGCTATAGTGGACTATTATAGATTGATTATGATGGATGCAAGCAGGTGACTTTTAACCTGAAACAAACAAAAAATACATTATACGATGTGCAGATCTAATGCAAAACTAGTTGTGTCGCTGTTGTTTTTTTGAATGTGAAGCTTCTACAATGCTCTAATGAAGGCATAGGAATGAGATAATTGTAGTTATCACACCAGTAACTCAATGTGTTAAAGACCAATGAGGAGGCATGGAAGTTGTTGATATCTTCCAGGTACACAGGAGCCGAAGAGGGTCTGAGGATAAGAAGGCAAGAAATCAATTAGAAAACTTACCTATAGTCAGAGCAGAGGTAATGTTAGCTGGGGTTGCTATAATTCTAATGGAGATGAAGAGAAAAGAATGTTTTGTGTCAAATTTTGAAGCTATCGTCAAAGAGGATTTCACTTACTCAATTGGGAAACTTAAAGGTTTGACACCATTCAGAGTTAGCAGAGAACGAGTGGTAGCCCTTATTCACTGAAATCAGAGTCATACGTGGGAGTGGACAACAGAAGTGGAACCCTGACCAGAATGTTCCGACTCACATAGTCCCATGGCATTGGCTCACCAACCGAGGTGCTCCCAAAGATGAAATAGACAGGAAGTCTGTGAAATTTTTATTAGATTTACATAGGGGGAACAATTAAGGTTAAATGAACAGAAACCTACTTCAAATTGTAAGAACAGAGAATCACAACCCCATCAACCAGTTCCCAGATGTGTGCTAGTTTACAGACCCAGGAACCCCTTGAATGGAGGGAAGGTTGGGTCCCCTTGAGAAAGCACCTGGCCCCCATCAATAATTAAGATAGCCAATTTCTATCACATCCTTCCCCAAAGGAAACTGAAGCCTTTCACTAGAGTTTACTCCAGGGGGAAGGGGAATAATCAGACATTTCAGGAATGCCTGGACACCGGTTCTGAATGAAGGAGAATTCCAGGGGATCCAAAATGTCACTGTGGCCCTGCAGTAAAAGCAAGGACCTGTGGAGGTCAGGAGATCAATGGAGTTTTAGCAAAGCCTTGACTCACAGGGGCTTCAGTGGGTCCTCAAATTCACTGTGTAGAAATTTTCCCCCTTCCAGAATATACAGTTCAGATAGAGATACTCAGGACTGGGTAGAACTTTCATGTTGACTCTCCAACCTGTAGTGAGAGCTGTTATGATTGGAAAAGGCAAAGTAGGGGCTCTTAGAGTTACCTTTCCTGAGTAAAATAGTGAACCAACACTAATTTCTTATACTTGGAGGCATTACAGGGATTAGTGCCCGGATTTAGGACTTGAACTATGTGTGAGTGGGAGGAGGGTGTTCCTATGACATCTCCATTTAATCCCTTGACTGCCTGGGCATAAGACAGAAGGATCATGGAGAATGAGAGTAGATTTTCATAAACTGAATCAAGTGGTGATTCTGACTGCAGGTGCTGTGCCAGATGTGACATTCTTGATTGAACAGATTAACAGATCTCCTGGCACTTAGTATGCAGCTATTGATTTTGCAAATACCTTGTTCTCTATACCTATCCATCAGGCCCATGAGAGAGAGAAAAAAAAAAAAAAAGAAAGCATTGTTTGGAGTTGGTGTAGCCAGCACCACACCTTCACTGTCCTACTTTAGGGTCACATTAACTCCCTAGCCCTGTGTCATAACATAGTTTACAAGGATCTTGATTGCCTTTTGGCTCCAAAAACATATC